TAAGGCAATGGAATAGACTGCATAGGGAAGTTGTGGACTCTCCATCACTGGAATTGTTCAAGAAGAGGTTGGGCAGCCAGAGGTTGGGAATGATCTAGGCATAGATCTATGTTCTACTATAGATATTTCCTAGGGCTGTGCGAAGCATCGGTCCCTGATTCAATCTGGCGGAGATTCAGCTCAATTTGGTGGCCAAATCTCCAAATCCAAATCAAATCAGAGGACCCTTTAATCTCTCCGAATCAATTCAGAACCCTCCAAATTGATTCGGAGAGATTTGAACAGATTTGGCGATTCAGACGTAGACGCAGCTTTAAATGTTTTTTCTACATACCTCTAGGTAGCAGGGGCTCTGAATGTTGTGATGCTGGGGCAGATGCAGCATCCCACAGAAGCATGGGGGGGTCCCAGCGTGCTTGGCAGCAGACCCAGAAGTGGACTAGAAGCACTTCTGGGTCCACCAGGGAGCGTGCCGAGGGGCCCCCGCACCCCCCCGGCTCGGCGACTGGTGCCTCCTGCGTCTGGGGAGGGGGGCACCCAGGGAACCCCTGTGGCCGACTGCCGGGCCGGGAGGGTGTGGGTCCTCAAGTACACTCCCCGGCAGACCCAGAAGTGGACCAGAAGTACTTCTGGTCCACTGCCAAGCACGCTGGAGAACACCCCATGCTCCTGTGAGACGCTCCATCTGCCCCAGCATCACAGCAATCATGAGCTGCGCTGCTACCTCAAGGTATGTAGAAAAAACTTTTAAAGCTGGGCCTGTGTCTGAATCGCTGATTCACTGAATCAGCACTAAATCATCAGATTCGGATTTGGCTGAATCACATAGTCCTTAGCTTTTCCCTTGCAGCTGTCTGAGACAGTATGGGTGCTAGTCAGCCCATCTCCTGCAACCACCTAGCTCAGGAACTCCTTTCCCTGCACCCTGCAGAGCCAGACTGCCCTCCTAACTCCCACACCTTGGCTTATGTGCCCCAGAGCTCCACCGCTTCCTGTATGTTGGCTCTTCAGCTACACCTAGTGGTTTCTGTTCTGGCTTCTAATCAGCCTTCCCCACCTGCTGCAGCTTGGTTCAGCTGCCTCTCCTTGGCCTAATGAACCTAGGCTGTTCCTGCCTACACTCTCCCAGGGTCTATAACAGAACCCAGCCTTGGGGTCTGTTTTTGTCTTGGGGCTGGTTGTTGTAGCCATTGACCCCAGCAGGCTACAAAAGTCTGGCTCCCCCTTTGATTGTAGCTAACAGGGTAGGGGTTACAGATTTGTATAGGATGATTTGGATAGCCATGATCCTGCCTCAGGTAGGGGATTGAACTAGATGGCTATGGAGGTCCCTTTCAGCCCTGCTTCTCTATGATTCCATAATACTCCTTACTCTACTGCTCCTTAGTCTACTGCAGTCACAAGCAGTCTTAGTCTCTATGCCTATTTCCCTATCTGAGGAAAGTAATGTCTGCAATCACTTTAAAATGCCTTCAGGTACATGCTAATTAAGTGTACTATACAATTATTTCTTATTTTAATTTTGACAATTTAATGTATGCCAGCAAAGACAACTGGGGGAAATGACTAGGCAGTTGACTTGTCTGAAACTGGCCTCTCAGAACATAGATAGTTATTTGCTACAGTATCTCATGGATATGAGGGGTATTAATGTCCCAATCCTGCACAGGAATCCATGCAGCCAGATTCTCTCATCCCAAAGAGACTATTACTTTCAACTGGATGGAGTCCTGAGATAGAGTCCATCTATATCTATGCAAGATCAGATCCTAAATAATTAATTTTATGTACAAGCATACATTTTTGGTTTGCCTTGTTAAAAGAGCTGGACCATTTAAGCTTTGCTTTGTTCTACAGGCTTAATTCCTCTTACATCTGTGAATATGCTCATTGCAAGACAGAAATATAGGCAATTGCTAAATCATCAATTTTGATCACACAAAATTATTCAGAAATGTTTTGGAAGAAAAAAGGAGATGATCTCTGTCATCTTTTAATTTAAAGCAAGTTAATTTTAGGAAAAAATCAAAACCAATTATTCTTGAGAATATAAAAAGTGTAGGATGATAAATCAAGCAACTCATTTCTTTTATGTAATATTCAAAGTTTTAAAATATGTTGGTATTCAATCTATCAAAATGACAGACACAATAGCTAGGTAAAATGGTTTAAAACACAATAGCTATAAAATGAATCACATATCTGCTGTTGCAGTGTGAAACGCATACTCAATACCCCCTTATGTTGTTATACCTACTAAATAGGATGCAATTGCAGAATACATAATGTACTGTGCTTGTCGAATGTGTTTTACAAGTAACAGAAACAGAAATATATCATTAGTAATACACAAACTAAAGATCATAAAGACATACAACAAGATTTTTAACTTAACAAGGGGTGAACCCTGGATAGAAATCCAAGCCTTTTGAGGTCAATCCAAAGCTCCTGAACTTTTGGGGTTTGTTTCCACTATTTTGAAAAATATAAACAGCTGCCTTATGGATAGCATATTCAGGTGTGAAAATGTGCCCTCTGCCTTTAGATGAAATTGACAGAAGATATATAAAAAACCCAACAATGAAAAGGAACTGAAATTAAACAAGTTCTTTGAGGCACTATGGAATAAGTATTTGATTTGGTCTATCTGACAGCACAGTTTAACGGAGAAATAATGAAACATTTTCAAGTACGGGACATCTCATTTGTGAATTCTTAACTATTAAGAGATTAAATTTTAGCATGCTTCCTACTAAATGTACAAAACAGTAAAAACCCATTTCTTCCTTTCTAAATTGATTAAATGAAGTACAACACATTCCCTACTTCCAAAGTTAACTCTATTATGGCAGAAGAAAAAAACCACTCTAACAAGGAGAAATGGGTAAGAACGCCAAATTAAATGAAAAATTAAAATATTCAACTCATGTTTAATGTGTCTATTTTGCTGTCACAAACTTGAAAAATGTCAGTATAAACTCTTTATATTAGATACAGTGCAATATGCGGTTTATAACCTTATTGTGTAAGACTGGGACACACCCCTACAAAAAATGTACATGTGTGTAGTTCCAGTACAGCCAATTGGCCTACCAACAGCTGTAAAGTTAAGCACACAGATAAGTGTTTGCAAGAATGAGGCCTTTGTGCTTCATTACCAGCCAAAGGCACCAACGAACCTTTATGCACATTAGATAACATTGTTATGTGAGGAAAACTACTTCCTTCAAAAGGATTGTGAATTTTGTGCATATTTGCAGGATCAAACCATACATGAATTTATCACTGATATTGGCTAACCATAAGGTAACTCAATATCCATCACACTATGTTACTTACATGACTTTTTTATTATTAAGCAGAAATTAGGGTGTAGATATTTTCCCAAAATATTTAAATACCACAATCATTGCACAGAAATATTGCAGGGCAACATTCATTTTAAATAGTAAAATTTAAAATACTACAAAATGAAATGGTTGGGGGGGGGAGGGTTGGGGGGGTTCCCTTTCCAGGTTGATGGTTTTTTGCTTAGATATAAAATATCAGTAAGTGGAACTTACTATGATTTTAGATATCTGAAGTGATGGAAAAACATGGAAAAACTTGAGAAAGTCCAGAAAAGAGCCACCCATATGATCAGACTTGCAAGGCAGACCATATGAAGAGAAGCTGAGGGGCTTGGGCCTCTCCAGCCTAAGAAAGAGAAGGCTGAGAGGGGACCTGGTAGCAGCTTACCACTACGTTAAGGGCTTGGTGAACAACTGTTCACCAGGGCATCTTTGGGGAAAACCAGGAGTAATGGCCACAACTCCTGGAAGACCACTTCAGGCTCAACTCTAGGAAAAACTTCCTCATAGTCAGGGTGTCTAGACGGTGGAATAAACTCCCCCCAGAGGTGGTGCAATTAATCACCTACCCGGGAAATCTTCAAGAGGATACTGGACGGTCACCTTATTGGGGTCACCTGACCCCAGTTGTCTTTCCTGCCTGGTGCAGGGGGGCTGGACCCAAAGGTCTTACGAGGTCCCTTCCAGTCCCTTACAATCTATGAATCTATGGCAAAGAGCAACACAACTCAAACCACCAGTCATCATTATTACCAATTTTTTTCACATACAACATGCACATTTTTCCCTGAAAACCATCTGCTGGAAACTGAAGTGTGCATTATATGTAAGAAATATGGTAAAACTAGTTTCTGCCACCTAAAAGGAAAAGGTAAAATAAAATCTTCAAATGATCCACAGGGAGTAGAACAATGAACAGGTGTGGCTCCTGATACTCATGTACTTACTACAAGGAAATACTTTTTATTTCATTTGCTCTTCCAAAGATCAAGGTCCATATCTTACTCCAGGGCATACTGTATGTTCCTTGCCTTTCCAATGTCCTTGTGACAAGGTATTTAGCAGAATTCACAGATTTGTTGGAATCTGACAGGCTGCACTGTGAGCACTTCTGTTATAGCCTCAAACTTGCAACCTCTGAGCTGTCAACCATGCACCATAGCACCTGTGCTGCCTCAGCCTGTACTGTAGCTGAGTAAAACATGGTATTTGATAACTTACCAGTGTGAAAGATATCACTACTTTCATAAAAATGAAAATAAGAATAAGTTAAATGCTTGCACAGGGATTGATCCATCCAGGCCCTTCCACCCACATAGTTTCCTAGTAAAGTCAACTGGACTTTGCAATGGTATTCAGGTCTAAGATGGGTAGATTCCTTTGTAGGCTCAGACCCTATGGCCCAGGACTGTGATAATTTCTTGTTCCACCAAAATTTCATAGTTTTGAAACATGTATGACATGGTAAACATCAGCATTGATCAACCTACTAACAAGTGTTATTTATTTCTATATACAAAACATGTTCACTTTATTTGGGAGGTCTTTTTAAACAAAAGAATCTTAACAGCTATTTGACTGGCTGGATTTCAGTACCCCTTTGTGGTACAAAGTATCCCACTTTTGAAAAAGAGCTAGTTTACTACGTACCTGTTTATCAAATGCTACCCATGAAGGAGCATCACTTCCTACACCTCTGGGAAACACGCTGTATTTAGGTTTCAGCTTCTGTCCAAGCAGAGGTTCTCCTCCTATTCCAGGTTTATCTTCTCCCAACAGCATAGAAACGTTATTGCAATAACCCCAGTGTTGAGATTTGTGAAACTTTTCTTTCCC